AACAGCGCCCCCTTGTGGAGGAAATATCTGCTTTTTACGCAGAGCTACTTCAGCAGCTTCTCAGTGACAAAAGTCAACTCTGCATACGGAAAGTGTCTGAGCACGCTCAGCGCTGTGAGAGACGGCAGCATGGTATCCCACCCAGCTTTGCCTGGAATAGAGGAGGATATGCTGGGTAAGATTTACTGACTATCTGAGACTATACATAGGCTTTCATTTAATTTCCTGCACAAATTTGGCAATATTCCCTTTCATAAAGTGCTTCAGAGCAGCATTAAAACCTTTGTCCCCAAATGAGCTTTTCTTTTTTCTTTTTTATTTCTCTCCAGATATCTTCACCCAGCAGTGTCATTTCTTGCGGCAGTCTGGTCACTGTGAGAAGGCGATTTCTTTGTTTCAGGCCATGATCGATTTTAGCTACTTTAAACCTGACAGTGTGAAGAAGCTCTCCACAAAGCAGCAGGTACACACACACACACTCGCACAAGAACATTATAAACAACAGTAAGAACATTAATCTGTATTTGTTAGGGACTACTGAAAAAACCTGCTTGAATTTGTGTAGAACTCTATTAGTGGGATAATTGATGGAAATTTAATGTTTTCTTACTCAAAAACCTTCTTATAGGATCATCTGATACTCATAACACTGGGCACTCAGTGGGAATACTGATCATCATTTTTAATAATTGCGATCATGTACAAATCATCCGGATTCATCAGTTCTTTTTCTTAAGAAGCCAGATGCAGGTTCCAACTGGACAACAATCATAAACACACATAAAATGGCTCTTGATAGGATAATTCAGGCTAACACCAAGCTTCCAAAATGGCTGCCGCAAAGCCCCACCAGCGTCCAGCCACTTTAAACTCAACCAATTCTTCCTGTTGGTTGCTACGGATGTTTTGTGACTCCAGTATGACTTTAAAGAGACATTTAACCACAATTTCGTGAGACTGTATAGATTAGTGATCATCCACAATGGCTTATCTGGCTGAAGGTGATCTGTATGCTAATATTTGCAACTGAAAATGTGGAACTATCCAGTTTATTTGGTCGTATTCCTGAGTTACGTTGAGGATATTTTATTTAGAAAAGGACAAAAAGAGGCAGAAAATGTTACTTTTTGTTCCCGTTTCTGCAGGTTGATTTCTTTGAGACATTCTGGGACAGTGGAGAGGCGAGAGTTGGGGAGGTAGGAGCCCGAGGATGGAAGGCCTGGATGACCCAACAAGAGCGAGGAGGATGGGTTCAGCCCCCTGCAGGTGAGATGCTTTTATTCACCTACATCTCAATAAATTGGGATATGCGGTTCACTGAGACTCGTTAGTCAGATTAAAAGTACTCTTTGAAAATAACAAACTTTAAATAGGTGGAAAGCATACTTATCAATTATTCCATATTTCTGTATTTTTTTTTATTGGTCTAATGTGATAGTGTGATCTTAAGTAAATAGATTTCATTGACTCTGATTAATTAATCTATAGAAAGTGTTTCACTTAGTGAATTAAGTTACTGAAATAAGTGAACTTTTCAGTAATATTCTAATTTATGGAGCTGTACCTGACAGCCTCACAGCTCCAAGGTGCAAGTAGGACACATAGTTCATTCTCTGAACAAAACAGGGATGAGTTTGGTTTACAAATCCTTTAATGAGAGGTTTCTGTGTTTCCGTCTGCTTTCCGTTTCTCCACACATAGAGGAAGAGGAGGAGGAGGAGGAGGAAGAGGACGAAGAGGAGGTGAAAGACCGGAGCCAGCCCAGAGGGACCGTCTGGCTGGAAGTGGAGTCGTCCCGTGAAGCAGCTCACTGGTTGCCCTGGAGACCTGACAAAGCCAAAGGCCAATCAGAGGAGGACTGTGAGGACCCTGACAGACAGGTGCTGCTTTCTAATGATGTTTGAAGTTCGATCTTGGAACAGGTTTGAAGATATTTACCTCATCGAAACATCATCTTTCTCCGTGACCAGGTGCTGTTTGATGACATCGGCCCATCCCTTATTTGTCTGACTTCACCAGAACTCCAGCTGCGGTTTCTTCTCAGTTTCTTGGCCTTTCTGGGTTTCCCGGTGGATTTTGTGCTCTCTGCTGCCCCCTATCAGCCAAGCATGCTACTGGAGAACCTCTCACTGCTCACTCAAGGTAATCAAATAACTGGAAGTTTTCTAAATATTTTTAAGAAATTTTAAAGTGAGTTGGTATCTTTTAACAATCTGTACTGCATAAATAAATCAGACGTATAGCCTGTTAAAAATCTATCAAAATTCAGTTATTAAGGATAGATCCTTTATCCATCTAAATACCACCTATCAATAAGAGACACTTTGACACATATTTACAAATATTTAACATGTTCTTTGGAAATAGCATTTCAATGTGATAATAACCATAATATCTTAAATACTGTAGATTAGTTGCAGTAGCTAATCTGGAGCAGATTTTATAAGCCGATATGTGCATAAAAGGTTAGATTAAAGGAGTCTGCGATCACCTACAATTATCATAATTACCATTACAGATATGTTTCCTTCATGCCTCACAGGTGCATCGCTCCAGCGTCCTCTGACTTCCTTTAACCCCCTTGAGACGGGGATTAACCCTGTAGGTCACATGACCACTCTCCAAGGAACCAGGAAGTGGTTGGGGCTTGGAAAGCAGGGTGAGAAGTTTCTCACCAACGTGTTCAGCATGCTGCAGCCTTTCCTCCCTCCTCCCCATCGAGCCGTTCTGTCTCTCAGCTGGATGCTGTACGAGAAGCTGAAGGTAGACCCAGAGCAGTGCAGAAACAAGCCTCACCTGCAACGCATCTCTTTGTTTTCTTCCAAAGCGTTTTTAAGTTAATAGAGGCCAAGATTAGTAGTTCGTCTCTACAAGTTACAAAACTCACAAAAAGAAACTATGCTTCTTGAAAAACATAGAGGAGGAAGTTGAAGGCGGTTGTATGCCTTCATAAAGTAATGCCTTCAAACTTTTCAGCCACATATTTTTATGTATTTGTTAGGTTTTGCACTGTCTGCGCAGCGGCAACAAAAAGCGGCTTCGCGCTCAGGGAAAGAGCAGCAAGCGGGTCGCCAAGAGACTCCTCAAAGAACCCGACAATCGCTCGTCCCTGGTGCTGTGGAGGGAGTACGCACACCTGGAGTGGGTGCTGGGCAACCTGGACGAGGCTCGGAAGGTGTTCTCCACGGCGACGGCGATGGGAGGAACCAGGGGCCTTGGCAGTCCTGCTCTGTGTGAGCTGTGCCTCCTGTGGTCCCAGCTGGAGGTAGAGAACTCGGCAAAGGAGCAGGGAGGAGTCGCTGACGTAACGACGTCGCCAGCTGTTGCGGTGCTGACCAGACTGGCAGAAGGAACATCTTCGTCTTCATCCTCCCAGACCTTGACCCCAGTTTCAATCCTGAAGGCCAGGAGATCGTATGATCAGGCTCTGAGCTCCAGCCTGTCGTCTCTGGACCAGAAGATCCAGAATCATCAGCAGGACGGAAACGGTGAGCGGCCTGTGTTTTATTGTCTCCGTGTAGAGATACAAACTGAATCCAAGGAGAACTTTTCAGTTTGGTCTGATTAGGGCACACACTTCTGAGAATTACCATCCAGATTTCATTGTCAAGGTTTCAGTCACATTCTGACTGTTGAGGTGAGAAACGAGTCGGTGATAAACCAGAACAGAATAAAGTTTCACGGGATCATGAGTAACGCAAAGACTTTTAACAAAAATGTGCATTTCTAATCACTTTCAAAACAAACATCACATATTACAAATTCNGCTANAATAATAAATCATATTAATTATTATAATATTGTTGTCTATAAAACTGATTTATTTCAATTGAAATTAATAGATTTAAAAGTTTTTATTTTAAATGGAGCTGAATTTCAAAGCAGTTTTTTACTTTCCACAGAATATTATATGCAAGTCAGACAATAAAAGTAAATCCAAGAAGCAGTTTTCAGGGAAACAATGAATTAGCCAGGATTAATTGTGTTTTTTGGATTTTATTCTCATCTGTAAAACACAGATCTGTAGAATCAATAAATAATTTAAATAGAACCTGCCTGAAGTAGGCTAAAAGATCTCAAAAGGCCAATAACCATTTCCTAAATTTCAAGAACAGAAGGGAAAACAAAATCTTTGACATCCGTGTCCAGGAAGTCTGAAATTATCTAATAACTTTGCTCCTTCAGGACTTGGATAATAACTTTTTTCCCTGAACAAATGAAGCCTTCATAAGAAAACAGCTTTTTGCTTATACTCTGTTTCTTTTTCTGTTTAAATATGAAACATTTGGGTCTGACAAAATGAAAAGAAACATTAAAAATATGTAAGGGGGTGGGGGGATACTTTTTTACAACTTTTGAGGTCAGATTGGTTACTTTGTTTGACGTTCCAATAACATTGTTTGGTTTGGTTCTTCTCGCTTGTCGCAGCAGCCCAAGATGAGCCACAGGAAGATAAGCTGAGGCTAAGAGGCCTGGTCGGCTGCTACGCTCTGTTTCAGTACCTAACAGTGAGCATCCAAGCTGCTAGTGCTGTCTACAGCCAGGCCAGGGAGAGGATGGAGGAGCTGCACCGCTCGTTAACACCCGAAAGGCAGCCTGACCACGATGAGGCAACCACCCGCCCGAGTCGTACCGTGCACAGCCAGCATGTCAGCTGGTTGGCTTCAGACTGTGAGGCTTTAGCAGTGCAACAGGCGGCTCTGCTCAGACACAACAATAGTGTCGGTGTGTGTACTTTGGCAACACTGAGGCAGATGCTTACCTGTTCCCTCTCAGTTTGGCCGTACAGCGCCCCCCTGTGGAGTGTTTACATTCAGGTCTGCTCTAAAAAAAAAAAAAAAACAAAACACATCTTCCCCCTTCAGAGGCTAAAATTAAAGCAGTGGTCAGAAATGATGAAGCGTCTGTGTGTTTCAGGTGGAGAACCGTTACCATAGCGCCGGCCGGGCACGCCGGTTTTTCACCACTGTAACCAGAGACAACAGCAGCAGCGTGGTACCCCGTCTGTTTGCTATTGTTGCTGAACAGCATAGGAAGCAGCTGGTGGATGCAGCTCAGAGGTGAGGCTGAAAGTGATGATGAGTATGTTCCTATAACAACAAAAATACAACCAGAGGAAATTACACATTCCTCCAGCTCTGGAATTTTACATATAAAGGACATAATCTGGTCTTTACAGGGTTCTTTACAGGGTTCATTCACAAACAAACAAAAAAAACATTTAGGACAACTGATGACCTTCCCAGAAAATGTACCCAAAGTTCAGAGCTTGAAGAAATAACAAAAAAAGAATAATAGCCTCCAGAAACAGACTCAACATTGTTAGAGGGGAGAAAGTCTGTTCTCTGGGGTGTACTCTATTGCCTCAGTGCATGAAGGTTCAAGTTAGCATTAACTTCCTAAATTGTTATGCAAATTTGTGGTATTTGCAAATGCAGAACCTTGTGGTCACTCTGCTGTCTTCACTAGTATTCAAGAGTCGAATGTGAAGCCGTCAGAAGCTCTCATACCAACTCTAGGTTATGGTGATGATTTTTATTAATCAGACTGAATGCTTTATATTTTGAGACATAAAACCCTTGAACGTAAACAGGGTGTGCATTCTTTTAGCAAAGACTGTATAAATGAAAACTTGTTACAAACAAATTAAGTCAAAAATGCTAACATCATTCGTAGGTCTTGTTGCTTGGATGGGGCCCTGCCCATTCTGCCAGAAAATGGTCTCAGCAACCGAATCCGCGGACTGTTCGAGGGCGCCACGTCAACAGAGATCGGTGCTCATTGTCCTCTACTGTGGAGGATGTACATCCATTTCCTGGTGAGATGATAAATGTCTCATAACATATGCAAAGCCACAATTAATACCCGTCAAGAACAGCTGCGACAACTGTGCATATAGTCATCTTGATTAACTTCCAGCCTAGTTAGATTAATTATGTTGTTTTATTATATAAAAATTGTATTTCAAAGGAAACATCTTGTGTTTCTGTGTCAATATAGGCGTCAGAGGGGAAGGTAGATAAAGCCAGAGGGATATTTTACAAGGCATTGCAAAACATTCCCTGGGTGAAGGTAAAACTCAGATTAAAAGTTACCTTAATTTTACTTATGTATTTAATTGATCTTCTCTGTGTGCTAACACTTTGTATATATTAAACAGGGTTTGTATATGGATGCGGTGCAGTTGTTCCCTGACCACCTGCAGGAGTTTGTGGATCTAATGACAGAGAAGGAACTCCGACTAAGACTGCCTTTGGAGGAGTTGGATATACTGCTGGAAGACTGAAAGCACTCAAATGTTTTGTTTGCTGGATGTTTACTTTGGTGTTTCCTTTTAAAATACTTTAGTACAAAGTTATAATATACAACAAATTGTTATTGTAAAGATCTTCTCAGTAATAAAAATTGATTTATAATTTTTTTTATTTTATTTTTTTGTTATACGTTTTTGCATTTTAAACTTTAAGTAGAGAATCTCACTTTCACTTTTGTCCCGTAGCAAAGGTCTTATTCCTTCTTTCGGTCTGAGGCTCACCACTTTATTAGGCAACACACCTGTAAATTACCTGCGAGTCATCACCTGTTCTTTTTTCTACTACGTTGTAGCTGTGGAGACGTTGCCCTCATTGCCGCTCCGTGCTTTGACGCATTGCAGATCCCTGTGAGCCAATCACTGGCCCCTTCACACTGGGAGAGTATGCGGGTTTGTCTTATCCAATCAGAGAACGTCTTTCAAAAGCAAAGCCAAAGCGTCCTCTGCGCTCAGAGTTTGGACGCTTAGATCCGTATCCTGCCGCTTGAATAAAAGTAGGCGTAACATAAAATAGTCCATCACTCTCCAGTGACCGTGCAAGCAAGGTGACCAAAAAAGCCCATGAGATTTCGCCCCCCGCTCCCCAAAACTTAAGTATTGTTATAGCAATACACCTAAAAGTGTTTTGTTTCTGCAAAGCAGTGTTTCTAAGATTAGTGTAGCATGAATTAAAAGGATATTTTGTTGCCTAAAGTTACAACAGTACATATGTACTCAGGCTTAGAATCACACTTAAAGCAAAAGCATTATTTCAAAAGGAAGCCACTCATGCAACAATGTGGACATTATATGGAAGTCAAAATGAATTCTCTCTACAATACCCCTTAACCTTTTTAAAATTTACAGTCATCTGGAAAAATAAAAACAATTGATTAAACGGATTTCAGAACCAATGTTAGGTTTGGTCCAAGCTTGAATTGTCTGATAAATGGCCTCAAATATGATAGAACTTCATGTTTGTCTGCCAGGTGTCCACATCTCCTGGATTCAGTCTCAAATCATCAGCCCTCCTCCACTATGCTTGACAGTTGATGAGTTGTTTGAGTTTACTTTAGGTGTTTACTTTTCTCTGGGCCTGGTGCTGTGCACTGTGACCAAACACCTTAGCTTCAGTGAACTCTGACAACACACTTCTAAACGTGTTGTGGTTCTTTCAGATGCAATTTTGCAAGTGGTGCCATGATATTGGTTTTATATAAAGATCTTTTTTTAACAGTATTTTAGGTTTTTTTTTACGTAATTGAATATTTCAATATAACTGAGGACTGTTCATCCTTAGTGCTTGATTTATTAATATAAGGCATTTACTTCCACATAGTAAAAAAAGACACAGCAGACTTTTTTTACATTAACAAACCACAGAAACGAGAGAAAAAAAGTACATGAATAAAAATATGTATTTTTATTCATGTTTTATTCAACAATGATGCTAATTGTATTCATTGCTACAGTAAAATGGTGAAGGTAAAAACTGAAATTAGTCCAAGGAACCAGTTAGTTGTGGTTTTTGTGCCAGTGAATATTATAGGAAAAATAATTTAGTGTCATCTCTTCTGGACAGGGGCTAGGACCACCGGCACCTATGACCGTCCAGAATTATGAGGAAATATTTAAGCAACGTCACATGGTATTAACCATAAAGTAAAATCTTGTGGTAGCTAATGAAATTATCCAATATACCCTGGAAGGAAGAAAAAATATTAACGTTTTTAAATCCCATCATGGCTTCTTGTCTAACAGCGTCCCAGAAGCTGAGTAAAGTTGTACTCCTCCATAGTGCGGATGAATACAGTTGAACAGCAGAGCGGTGATTCGCCTCGTCTCCCCGCCTTTAGCTAGCAGCAGCAACGCTCAGTGGCACCCGTCCATTTCCTCTCTCCTCAACCGCCGGCAGGCTAACAGCTCTAACTCCCACAGACATGGTGAGTATCTAACCAAGTGCAATTTGCGAATGTGTGCGAATTAAAATTGGAATGTTTTGCGGTGACTTATGAGGTCCATTTTCGGTTCGGGAGTATCGTTGCTAAAACATCCCGGTGCCTCCGTGATTCGCACACGGGGCGAGCCAGGCAGACGCGGGTGGACCGACTTGAACCATTGACAGCCGTTGACGCTGTGGGTTATATTAAAAGCTTCTCACCATGGAAGCACCGCAGAATGGCTTTGTTAGGTGTGTAAAAATGCTACCCTCACTCATAGGTTGTGGCCGTTCTGTTTGTTAGCATCACAGCTATTACCTCACCCCGTCCAATGAATGATTTTCCGGCATTTGACAGCCGCCTTGTCGGTCAACGATGCATTTTTTTCCCTCTTTCTTAAAAAGGTTTTTTTTTTAAGAAAATGGTACAGTTGATGTTCACCCCGAAGCCTTCATATTAATAATAAATGTGAGAATTGAGTACATAAAAAAAAGAGCGAAGGTCGAGTGGGTAATGTTCTCTACGTTTCTGAAATCATTTTTGTAATGGATGTCAAAATCAAGCATGTTTCATAATATGTTTAACTATATTTGGACATTATAGTCAGACACAGACTGAAATTGAATCTTCCTGCTTCTACCACAGAATTGAATACGCTGTGTGTAAAAATTCAGATCGCTATCTGCGGAGCGAGTGAAACAGAGCCTGGATAGGTGGAGATATGTGTGCTCTGGAGACGAGGGGAATAAAGTGAGGACCCATGCGTTTGAATGAGATAGACAGCTGGAATACAGAAAGTTGAAGTACCTGGGGTCAGTAGCGACTCTTGCAGTAATGACGCCCTGGGTTTGTCCTTCTTCCTGCCGCCCACCACACATTAATTGATCTGAGTTGATTGACCAGTGCTTTTCAGCTCCTCTCAATCCAAAGTCCTAATTTCGAGAAAGCTTTAAATGTGACCCCTTTATTTGTTTTTTACGCACTGAAATGATGTGTTAGCAATACTGGATCATATTCTAAACTATTTGATCAGTGTAGGATAATCCAATTGTGTAATATGTATATCCTAGTCGAATTCAGCAACAGTTTTGTTGCAAATGATTTGTAAATCCAGTGACGACTTTTAAACTTTGACTTGAAAACAAAGTTTTTGCTTAGGTTCTGCACTATCCTGTCATTCACATTGACTGAACATGCAAAGCAAAAAATCACTTGGGAGGGGTGGGGGAGAATACAATTTAGGTAATTTCCAAGCAAGCATGTGGGGACAGTGGAGAGGAAATGTTTCCTGTTAATGGGAGGGAGCCACCATGGCTCATGGAGACCAGTCATCTGCTGTGACTCACTATAGGCTGAGAGGGCATATTGAGATGATTGTCAGGGGTGATGTGTAACAGTTTATTACAAGCTGTTGGAGCGAAAAGGAAGATTTACAATCAGGTTGCGAGCAAAGGTTACCACATGAAAAAAATCAGGCTGCTATATTTAAGCATCAGCCATTAAATAACCCAAAAAGAGAGGAATATGGTGTTGCTGTGACTCAAAGAGCTACATGGTACAGCCAGAAGAGCCCCAGTTTGTGTGTGAGGCCAGAATGATAACGAGGTTTCAATCATCTGTAGCAGTAAGCAACAAGCTTCAACCAGAAAAGGTCTGGTAGTAATTAGCCCTGACCTTATCTGTGCAGGGGAGTTTCTCTGATTTGGAAGCAGAGAGAAACAAATCTGTGAACAAGGATTCACGCCAGTAAACCTGAAACGTCTCTGCCAGCAGTTCTCTAAAAGACAAGGAGAAAGTAGCTGCTGAAAAAATCTGATTCCAGGTTGGAAGGAAGTGTAGATGCTGACCAAGTCAATTTTGAGTAATGTCATTAGCCTTTGAGAGACGGATTTAGTCAAATCAGTGAGGCCGGTGATTTTTGAACGGCTTGGGGATTTGGTAGTAATAGAAAGCAGTGAGCGGAGCAGAGGCTGTTCAGGTTGTCATCGAGATGAACAAAAGTGGAGGGAATTAGAAAGGAACATCTCTGAGGGAAAGGTAGATTGTCGAGGCTCCGATGGGTTGGACATGTGCAGGGGAGGGAAAAAGAGTAAGATCATAAAGATTAAACAGCAATGAGGGGATGAAGGCAGAACACGCAGAGTGAATGAATGAAGATTTATTTGCAAAGTCTTTTAGAATAGAAATAACCTTATTGCCTCTCAGTGGAGAAATTCAAGTGCAGCAGGTATTCAAAGCATGTAGATTCACACAAAGATAAAAATGTAAATGTATATTTTCTCCATTGATGGGGAGAAAACTGGTGATGTTTGCCACTCCCCACAAAAAGTTACATTTCTGATAGTCTCGGCTAATAAAGTATCCATCCACTTCGTAAGAGGAATGCAGACAGTAGAAGAAAACCTGTTCTACAATGGATGGAACAATAATGAGGCCTGTGTCAGTAATCTGATCTCGATTTCTTTACAAATACCCAATCTGTTTTCATCTACCTGTTGTAAATAGTTGGATGAAATGGATCAGCACCAGATCATGGGTTGAAGTTGTTTTTATCCCCCCTTAAATATAATTTGACTTCTATTTTCTTGTTTTACTAAAAAAAAGTAAAACTGTAGGTGTCTTTTTTTTTATTATTCAAGAGTTTATTCTACATGAGTTGAATTACTTTGATGGTTTATTTATAATAATTGTAGTCATTAATTAGGAGTCATCTAAGCCACAGCTCACTTTACATTTCCAGTCCATGTCAGCTGCCAAACAAGTCTGTATTTGCTTGATGGCATCCGTAACAAACCTATTGATATCTGATTTTATAATAGCTAATTCAAGAATAATTTAATTATTCCATATTCAATAATTTCCATTTCAGTTTTATGAATAGTTGTGTGTTTTTTGCAACCATTTGGAGGCAGTTAGAGTTAAGTGTTTTAAAAGTGTGCTGTACAGACTCGCTCCTCGGCTTGTACCATCTGCTGGAACAGGAACATGATCTCTTCAGCTAGATATTTCTCTACCTTAAGTGAGGTCTTAGCAGCTTGTCAAACATCGTTGAGCGGATCAGTTATTATTCTCCAACAGCTGCTTGGTTGTAAAAATACCTGTATGAATTAATTTCTTAATTATTTCCCAGCCATCTTATTAATAAACTGGTTTCAGTGCAGCGCTAGTTTGACACAAAGGCGTTTTATGAAAGCAGAGGGTTAAAATCAGTGTATGTTCTGGTTTGTTTGTTGGAGACAAGGTCATAAATGGAGACTACAAGGCTGTTGCCAGGTAATAAATGACAGATGTAAAGACTCTGCTCGGTGTTCTCAAAGCATCACAGCTCCTCGTGAAACAGGCAGTTAGGAATCCCTGCCACAAGTTTACAATTTCTTTTAAAGGTTAAAATCAAAGGCTAAATACATTAATGTGGGGCTGGGAAATTATTGTACATTTTAATGGGAATTTCAAGTTTTATTGTCACAGTTTTATTTGTTGGCTGTTACATTCTTTTGTGATGACAGTCTCTCATTCCTCCAACAAATAATGCCTCAAACTCTGGAGATCAGAGAATATTGGAAGCTTTGCTGAAGAATATGGGGATTTATTACAGCAGAAAACGTCAATGCAATATTTACCACTAATATTGCAGCTGCATGACTTCATGTTGTATATCCTTATATGCAGTTTTGCTTTGTGTCATTTAATTTCCTGTATTACTTTCCCTAGAAACTATTTTGGAATAAGCAGCGCTCAGAATGGAGAGGAAACCATGATTCCCATATTATGATGCATCCTCTTCAAGCTACTTTTATATTCATTACATCATAAAGTAATGTTATGATGTGGTCATTTGTAAGTAAGTGATTCAATCTAATCAGTGTCAGCTGCTTTTTATTTTTCGTATTTACAGTTGGTGTATAGTTTTTTTTTCCTTTATTGTCCTATGATAAATAGCTAAAGTAATATCTCTCCAGATTACTGTGCAGCACGGCAGGTAGAAAGATAAGTAAAAGATTTGTATGAGTCCAGGGCAGTGAATTAAAAAAAAAGTTGGTTAACTTACCTTAATCTTAACTGTCCTGAGAGTGAATACCAAAACGGGCTTGTGTGTGTGTGTGAATCACACATTTAGTGCCTGCGGATGAAGTGACGGTCCATGCAGTGCAGGAGGTTGGCTGACGGGTAACTGATCCCTCCCAGGAGATGCAACTGTAGCTGGGAGCTGACAGGTTGCAGATTAGCACATACATGCAGACACAAAGAAAAGGCTTGTGACCCCTTCTGGTGCGGACACTTTTTACTCTCACACACTTAAAATCAATTTCCTGACATGTTTGACCGACCCTCCACCAGCATGGCCTCCTGGCCTCTGCTCACACTCTTCATCTGTAGAGCCCATTGGAGAGGCCACACACTCAAACGACGGCTCCACGGTTCAGCCGTGGCGTTTGCAGGTGGTAGGAATCCACACCGTGCCACCAGCACGGTGTGGATACAGCGAGGGAAGGGGAAAGGACAGCGTTTGGACTTGTACGCCCACACCTATAAAATGATTGACGGTTGCACTTATTGAGAGATGGATAGATGGACAAGTTGCCAGGACAGCGTCAACAGAAAAGCCAGCTGTTACATCAGCTTGTCATCTAGATCAAGGAGGAGAGCTGCCACCTGTCAGGTCGCTCCGATCCGTTGGGATTGTGGAAACCTCTGTCATCCATCAGCTTCTAGAAGGACTGAAAGACGGCTCTGGCCATTTTCCAGCCACCTTTTCGCCATTCAGGCCTCCATCTAACAAATTCCAGGAGGATTACAATCATCTAGCCACTTAAATATTTTTCTTTGACACAATTATTGGGATGACAGGATACGCTGCTTCTCTGGTACTTCTAAGCCTGTTTGTCAATTGAGACCGAATGATAGATGTCTGGCCATTATTTTTACCATCCAGCCATAACACGGGATATTTGCCCTTCCTGCCACTGTTCCCTCATTATGCTGCCTCAGAAAGTGGCCATGTACTCGGCAGAGGATGAGCTGGTGAGCCTGTCCACGGTCTATGAGCTCTTAGATGAACAGCAACATTATTACAGGGAGCTCATCCAGCAGCAGGAGAGGAACTACAGGGCCTTCCTGCAGATGTTGATGGACACTTCTTCCAGCCGCATGGACAGCCTGGTGCGTGAAATGCAGGACCTGAGGAATAACTTGCAGAGGACCAAAGCTGAGCTGGCGGAGGTTAAAAAACAGAGCGTGCAGAATAGCAAGCAAGCCGAGTTCCTGGCTGAGGGCTTAGTGATGGTCCAGGGGGAGCTGGATGGGGTCAGCATGAAAACCAGAGACTCTAGTGGAGGAACAAAAGGAAGAATTCTGGATGTAAAGCAGAGCAGAGGAGGGTCAGTGTTGAGGTTTGATGGGAGAGGAGTTGGAGGCACAGGAGCAAAAAAGCCAGAACCAAAAGCTGCAAAACTGGTGGCAGACCTCACAGATATCCGCTTCGGAGACTTTAAGGTTGTCAGCAGAATTAAGGGAATCTACCTAATGGTTTGGTTAATGGGAGCTTTTATGTAACGTGCTTCGTTAGTGTCCATGTGTGACTGACTTAAAAAGTCTGTTCTGAATCCTCAACTCTTTTCTGTCTCCTTTAGGCCGACCAACTAACAGAAGAGCAGATTGCTGGTAAGACGAGTCAACTCAAACCCTGTTTCTCAATCTTCGGGTTGAAATTTTAGCTTAATTGTCAGTATTTTGTCTTCATTGTCATCTTCTTTTTCCTGCCCAGAATTCAAGGAGGCCTTCTCCTTGTTTGATAAAGATGGAGATGGTACCATCACCACCAAAGAGCTGGGCACAGTCATGAGGTCACTGGGTCAAAACCCAACTGAAGCTGAACTCCAGGATATGATCAATGAGGTGGATGCGGATGGTACGCAGATTTCTTTAAACTTTCTGCCGTTCAGAATCTTTTCACCAATCATTCAGATTTTTAGTCGTTTTCATACAACCTGATGTGACGGTGTGTGGAAAGAACCCACCAAAAAAAATATGCTACACTAAGCAAATTTTTACTATGTAAAGTCAATTAAACATTTTTGTATGGAATACAAAGTATAACATTTAACAATTTTTATGATAAAATCTGTTATAAACCAGTTTGAAAGAATATGTATATATTAAAGCCAAAAACATCAAATTAAAAATCCTGTCCAAACAAAATAAATCTTTCGATCTCCTGTGACAGTCATCCAAATGTCTTGACACCCGTTCATATAATGAACGGACCTTCCTCACTCAGCTCCTCTAGACTAGCAGCAGCAGAACTGTGCTTCTGCTGAGGATATCACACAACACTCATCTGATTGTAAATGGCATTATAGAAAAGCATTGCTGTGATGACTTGTTGAAATCACAAAGAACCAATTTTCTTGTTTTTTTATTTTTTTTATTGAATTCCTCTTTGCACCATCATCTCTAGAGGTTTCACTGCCATCCCCAGAACAGAACCAGCCTTTCACACACTCAACAGACTTAGAAGATGCAAACACTGAAGGACTTAAACTTTATCAAAGTACAGCCTGCTTGGTCTGTTGTCAGGTCAACACTGAGGTATTTATCCTCCTCCACTTGTTTTGACCTGATCCCGTTTCTCCTGAATCTATAGTCAACTCCACTGACACAAAATGGTTCACCAGCTCACACTGGCATTGGAATATTATCAATATAGTATGTTCCTCCCCATGCCCCACGATTCCTTCCGACTGCCATCAACTCCAAGCCCCACCAGACATATTAATAGTTTGATCAATTAGTCTAATTAAAAATAATTTAATGTTTAGAAATATATATATATAACATCCTAGACAAGCAAATTTTATCCCAAAATACACAAACTTGCCAAATGTAATGTTTGCAAACTTGCAAAAATAAAACTGCACAAAAATCTCCAGGGACCCATAAGGTAAAAATGTGCCATAACGCATGTCTGTCTGACTTGTGTCCTCCAGGCAATGGGACTATCGACTTCCCCGAGTTTCTAACTATGATGGCACGAAAAATGAAGGACACAGACAGTGAGGAGGAGATCCGGGAGGCCTTCAGAGTCTTTGATAAGGTGGGCCCGGGTGTGTGTGTGAGAGTTGATGTGACTGAAGTGAGTGTTATAATTGACCAACCGTGTGCGCCTTGTCCAGGATGGTAATGGATACATCAGTGCAGCAGAGCTCCGTCACGTAATGACCAACCTGGGAGAGAAGCTTACGGACGAAGAGGTCGACGAGATGATAAGGGAGGCCGACATCGACGGCGATGGACAAGTCAATTATGAAGGTATCCGATCCAAAATGGCCGCGTGTAACAGCTTCTGCGACTTGCGAATAAAAACATTATTCTGATTGTTTTCTGTCTCTCTCTCTTCCACAGAGTTTGTTCAGATGATGACCGCCAAATGAACTGAACTTACAAAGAATCAGTCAAATGTTTCACTTACCTCTTATTGCAAAAATCTACATTTAATCATGCTGTTCTGTATAGACAATTTAAACTGAATGTTGGAATACTGAAAATCTGTCCATATAAACAAGTTCAAAAAAAGGTAAAGGTAAAAAAAAAAAAAAAAATCCAATAATCTGCATGTACTGGCTTGTATTCCCCATCCCCTCCGTGCTGAGCTGACCAATCACATCTCGGCTCGTTAGACGAGCAGCCTCGTGCAGCCAGCTAGTTCAGCCGCTGCTCCTCTGCTTCTTGGTTCCATCTGCCTGATGTCATGATGATTTGGGCGGGTCAACTGCCTTTTCTTCTATAAAGTCCTGTTGTTTTACTTTCCCTTCATGCATGCAGCGTTAACATGGGTTACTGTTGAGATCTCGGTGACAGAAAGCTGTCGTTGGACCTCAGAGGAGGAAAGGGGTGGATGGGAGGGAGCGAACCAATGGGACGTTCGCTTGGCTAAATAAAGTCGGTGACTGATATTTTTAAGAAAAATTAAAATGGAATAAACAACTAATTTTAAATTTTGTTTCCGGCATGTCTATTAATCACTTTATCCTTTTGTGTGTTTACCTTTTTTCTTTTTTCTTTTTTTCTTTTTTTGTTTGAGGGTGAAATGCCCCTTTGGCAGTCTTTGTCTTATCCAATATGGAGGGATGGGTTGGGCTTTAAAGATGATTAGATACAAGCACAGCTTCTGAGGCTACATCTGCACCAATGCTTGTACCAGTGTGAGTATTAGTTCGGATGTTTACAGACACAGTAACGTGAAATCTGAGTTGTCTCGCTGCAGACAGGTGCAGGCTGCTGCCTCGAAGGCTGTGTGTGTATGACTCCACGTGGTGGGGCGAGTTTCAGATTAATGGGGGACAGGGTCGGCGCTTTGCAGCATTTCTACCTTGTTTTTGTGTGCGAGTTTGCCTGTGTGCGTGTGGGTGCAGCGAAGCCCGGCCCGGTCCAGTCCAGCTGTCCTGTTCGGTTCAGTTGATCTGCATTCCAAGATGTACAATGCTAGTCTTTACATTTTGTTTTTCCAATAAAATCTCATGAACTAAAGGCGACGGGTGTTTGTGTATTTGTAGACGAGCTGACGTGCTTTTGTTTTGTTTTTTCTCTGTGGGGGTGGCGGAGCTTTAAGATGACTCATCAAAGCCTCTGTGTGTGTGATGTCCTGCTGAGCCCACCGAACATATTTTTTTAAAAGGAACCTCGATTATCAGAATCAGAAAACACTCTGAAAGTTAAGTGCTGCAAAATTACCATTAAAAGAAGCCATAGGTTTTTGTTTTTTTTTTTTCTTTTTCCCCCCAAATAACAGTTATCGAAGACTAACCACAGAATATTCTGCAGTTCATCAGGGTGTGTGGTGAAAAAATTCTCCGCGTTGCCACAAATGGCTGCCGATGAGTTGTTGCTAGGCAACAGAAACACAGATGGAAATGGAGGAGAAATGGGCAGCAGAAAAATGTGGGAGGAAGAGGAGAGGTTTGACAATTATAGAATCGCAGAGATCCGGCATCATAACCTACAGAACTGCCAGAAACTACATTATTTCAAACATGATTCTCATCAGTAGTAGATCTGGACTCTGCTGGAAGATACTGGATGTTTGTATCATTGGGAATCGGACAGGATAAGTGTAGGAGGTGTTGAATGCATTTCTCACAGTAGCTGGAGTTATGTAACTGTCTGAAGAGTATTTTTACACAATACTGCTCTGTGCTGGCATTCGAGTTCAGAGTTTCCAATGTGCCGCATTATAGTCTTCTACGGAGACGATTAAATGTTACATTTTTCTACTGACGGAAGACAAAACTGGGTCAGGGTTTCAGGATACAGCCAAAAGAAAATACGTCCTCTTTCAATTGTAGGATTCTCCCGTCAGAACAAAATCAGGATGAAGCTGTTCTTTATGAGGCTCTGACATTTAATCCTAACCTCAAGTTTCAGAAAGGTACACATTTCACATCAAATAAAAACGAAACCAAAAGGGAAAGTTGAGGCCAGTTCTTTCTTCAGTTTGGGCCAAGCTTCAGGATAATCAAACAGATGGCCTCATTGACGGCAAGATATTCACTTCCTGTGCCTGAATAACAAGCCTGGGTCATGACCTCTTCACCTTCGCAGTTGGATTGAGGCTTGTGTGATGATTTGTTTGATCCAAAAAGGACATAGTCCCAGAGGTTATTCAGATGCAATGTTACTGTGGAGTCGCACTGCCTTCGTTTTATTCCCCTCTGTGCAGTTACTGTGGCTCAGCGGAAAGAGCAGTGATCTTGTCAAAACGTTGTGGGTTTGATTCCAGTTTTTCTTGTCCTACTTGTCTGCTAATCTGCAAACTGGTTTATGAAGATGTTACTCTAGTCTTTAGTCAGTATGGCTAAAAATTACAAAACGTAAATTCAATCTGTTTACTATTACAAGTTGAGATTTGTATCGTTAATTTCTTATTTTCATAAGAGGTGACCAGAGCATCGCAACATCTCAATTCTTCTTTTTGGCTGGCTTTTTTTTTTTTTTTGGGTACTAAGCTTACTGCTGGGTTGATTAACCGGTTAGGCCAAGCCCACATCATCACCTCTCCACCACCATGCTTCACAGTTGTAATGAAGTGTTCTGCTGAGACTGTGGCATCCAAGAGTGGAGCTCTATTTACATCTCCTGAGGATTCAAGAGAGCTGACCATGGGGTGAATTTAACATAAAATCCTTGTGGATCATTTTTCTGTAGAATGATGGATTTTGGAAATATGCTCATAACCACAGATATATTATGCATTTCTCCTTGGTTGTGTGATGCACTCCTGTCTTTTTATAGAGGTGGCTATACTCTAGTTAGTTAACGGAGTGCATTTAATTAGCAGTACCAGGGTGCTACTGTAACTATTAGGTCAAAAATGGAGGAAGAAAAAAAAGGCTTAAATCTCCTTAAGTGATCTTTTTTATGGTCTACCCATTTCCAGTTTTACTGAGGGCCACATCGATGACCTTCCTGAGAGATTAACTGCTGCTGACATGCGAGACTCGGGTGGAGACCTCGGGGCAGCAGGGGACCGTGGCTTCCTGACACTCCAGGACAAAACCTGTCAGCGCCGTGATCCTCTGGGACAAAGCAGGACACACCTGAGAGAGTAACGGACACCACTGGCCCCGGGGTCATGCCCAAAGAGAACACCACACACAGCTTTGCAGACGCCTTTGTTTACCGAGGATCTTTATTATTGTTATTATTCTAATTTCAGTCATTGATTTACAGCAAAAACGACTCACTGACTGATCCCGCCGAACCCGTTCCTCTTTCTCGCTTCCCGCCCCCCCCACAGCATCGCTCTGTATAATCATAATTTACTCTCTAAAATAATAAAACACAAGGGTTCATCAAATATACAGCAATAACTCTTTGTATTTATAATAATAATTAAAAAAAAATTAAATAAAATAACCTGGCTGTGACAGGATGCAAAGACACAAACAAGGTGGATGGATTTACACAGAAAACCTGATTTTGGACAAGTAATTTGTAACAGATTCCTGCTAAACATTTGTTTGTCAGTAACAGTGTTTGAACTGTGCATATGATGATATTCTGTAAACTAAATAAAGCATGCTTCGTTGTGAGAAAACTGCCACAAAACGCCAAGACATCCGGTCGTCTGCGTAAATCCATCCAGGTTTTTTTTTGGCATTTATTGACTGATTGAGCTTATGATCATGTCTCCAGTGGATTATCCAGCCGTACAGTAACAGAAATCCTCTCTGGCTTAACAGCAACAGGTGAATTTTGTTGTTTGAGCGAGAATGTTTGGCTCTTAAAGCAAACGTAAATAAAAGTATTTTCCTGGCAGTAATCGGATTTTGAACAAACCTGTGTGTTTCTTTGGACTAAATAAAATGTAAACAAAAATCTTAGGCTTCTGAATGCAAACAACATCGTATTTACAACAACAACAACAACAACAACAAAGGCGCACGGACAAGACGCAGGAAACGTGTTGGCACCACATACACACCCGCGCGCGCACACACGCATGCACACACACGGTCAGCAGAGGAAAATACTGTTATTTGCATTATGTACAAGGTGTGAGAAATGGCTGCACAGCTGTTTGCATGCAGTCGTGTGTGTGTGTGTGTGTGTGTGTGTGTGTACGGAGCAGGTTTGTGACTGCGCCGCGTCTCATAGCGCTCGGGGAATGATGGTGAACGGCAGGATGGGGCTGCTGGCCTCCAGCTCCAAGGCGGTGAGGAAACACTCGGTGGCGGCAGCGGCGTTCCCCTGAGCCTGCAGCACCTCGCCCAGACTGTTCCACACGTCATGAGAAGTGCTGACGAGGCGAGAGGCAAATTATTTTCATTGATTAAATGTAAATGAGGGGGGGGGTGGGAAGGAAATTTGCTAGAACAAGCATATTGTCACCTTCCTAAAATAATGGCCTGAGTCGTTTGTTTGCCAAAAGATGTTTTAGGCAAAAAAAAAAAAAAAAGGACTTAGGCCATTATTTTAGGAAGTGATCTGAAAGTTGTGTCTTTAAGAAATAAGAAAAAAAAAAAAAGAAAGAAATAAGAAAAGATGCAGGGGAAAAGCACATCTAAAGAGTTGTGATAAAAACCATACCTGTTGACCTGCACAGCATCCCTTAGGACTTTCTCAGACAGACTGTAGCGCTGCAGCTGGTGCAGAATCAGACCCTGAGGAGACCCATAAACATCACCCATTTAATCATTATTTATAATATCCGATAAAATTGTTTTTTGTAGTTTCAGTGATTTTGATCAAGACAGCCGTGAAAGCATTTTTACATCTAATCAGGACACAAGGGCTTGTACTGGAACTAGCTACAATGGACCAAAGTCAGACCGCGCCCAGATTTGGCTTCTAGGGCCTTATTAGAGCGGCACGGAAACCAGGGTTTACAAATTTCAATGGGCTGAAGCGTCGCTTTAAATAAAACTGATGTGAAATCCTTTTAAAACGATGTGAGAGGCTGATAAAGTCAGACGGCAAATTACTGAGTTATTGCCGCTAACTGTGGTTCTAAAAGCAGCTGGATGCTGAAGTGTACTTAGTTTTTCACTCAAAGCTTTTCCAATTCGGTACCATCTTGTTTGACAAAATCTTTTGTTAAACAAAAGTGTGGAATTTGTGGTACTAATGTAAGGAACCCAGTAAAGACCAGACCACTTTTATTATGTTGCAATATACGACAGCCTTAAAGCGAAAGAGGTTCACACTTTTAACCACAGTGCCAGGCCCACAGAGGTGTTAAAAAAAATCCCCCCACACATGGAAAAAAAAAAAAAAAAGTTTTTTCTTATCAATTTGAAATTTTACTTTTTACCTGCAGTTCTTTTACAACTGCATTTATATTTTTGTTGACCACTTTTGAGTTATGCATGTTAACATAACCAAATTATACTGCATGCATTTTTGAGCAAATGGTTGTACAGAGTTTATTCCTGATTTGTGTTCAAAACCATGTTAGTAATTATTTCTTGTCCTCTTAGAAGATTCAAAAGTTTCAAAAAAGAAAATCTTTTTTTTTTTTGCCAGGCTTTTATTTTTGTTTCTACCACAAAGAATCACTGACAGTTCAAGGAGATTTTGTAACGAGATGCATTTTCTACATATCTGAATCATTTAGACACATTTCGAAAGTTTGAGCTTCTTCAGCAGCTGTGAAGAGACGAGGGACAGGAAGTCTGATCAAGTCTAAGCCAATTCCTCCAGGAATTTGTCCTGCTTAGTTTAGACTTGTTTAGCAATCATGCAAACACAAGACCTCTGTTGGAAACATTTAAGCTGAGAGCTGCATGCATCAAGAAGAAATAAACAGCCACGGGTATCTAATTTAAGACGCTAATTCAGCACTGATGTAGGCTGATTTACGCAGGGCAGTAAACCGACTCAATGTGTGTTGCTTCAATGAGAGGGGGGGAAAAAAACAAGGAAAAACAGAAAAAGACAAGGTCAGGATTACCTTTAAAAAATATATATGAAAGTGACTTATTTGGAGTAAAGTCCAAAGAACTGAAGGCAGCTTAAAGATTTTTGCACAGAAACACAGCAAGTGTGTTGGCGTCTTACCAGTCTCTGCATGGTTTTGACATGAGTCGGGTTGATGGACAGGGCTTCTTCGTACCATCGTTTGGCTTCGTCTATGTTGCCCCTCAGCTCGGCTATCTGGCCCCTCATGTACATCATGTTGTGGGAGGTGGGGGACAGGTTGGCGGCCTCCTGGGTGCACGCCGTGGCCTCTGCAGGTTTCGACATGCCGATGTACACCTCAGCTGTGGGAGAAAACAGACACCGAGAGAGGGGAAAGGTTGCAGGCTGCCAGAAAGCGGCACTTATTGGAGTAAAAGCCACGCCAAAACGGAGTTCTGTCGCACAGAACAACAGAATCTATGGAGCGACGCAAACAGAGGGGCGTGCGATCTGAAGGCTTCATCACTTCGATGATGAAGACTGAGCGATATCGGCAGAGCAGGAGGGAGGAAATGAACGGTCCCTCTATCTGCCCCCTAATTGGCTGATTACATTAGTTGTGTCGCCAAGCTGGAAATGACCGCCCGACGAGAGGAAGCAGCCGGGCAGATAAACAGCAACACAAACCGCCTCTGTTGGTGTGTTAGTGTGTGTTTACGGGAGGCGTCTGCGCCCGTTTACATTCTGCTCTGCAAATGTCTGCAGCCGGTGCAGAGAGAAAGAATCAGGGTCCCGGCACGCAGAGAGAGGCAGATCCGATATCCAATCGCTGCGCTCTCAGAAAGAGCTGACAGCAGCACGCTCGCCACGGCTGCTGGAGTAAGTAGGAGGGAGCAAGTTCAATGTGCAGACGAATCTCTTTTCAGCTGCTTGTAACCAGGATGTTACCATCTAGGTAACATGCTGTTTTTTATCTGTATCTGTATTTTATTTTATCTGTATTCCCACGGAAGTACATTTTACAAATCATAATGCCAATTGCATACGTGAGAAGAAAGGATAAAACGAAACAACGTTACAACTCTATTTCCAAAAATTAAATAGCAAGAAATACAATTAAAAACACACAACACGCCCCAATAAGAGTTCACGTAAAATCAACGTGTGGAAGCAGACCTGCATGAAGCCAGATCTGAGCCAGGGTCAGCCAGGGGTGCGGGGGTCCGTGTTTGGGGGCGCTGCTCTGCAGGGAAGAGGCCACCTCCGACAGAGCCTGCTCCACCCGGCTGGCTGCTATGGACGTAGCGTGCACCGAGCCTGCAGGGTGGGAAAAAAAAAAAAATCCATCGCTTTGTTAAAACACACGAAAACAGCTGCCAAAACCTGCCGACTGACAGCTGAGAAGCAGCTAAGCAGAAAATGACTTTTAGTGACGCGGCCAAGAGCAGAACTCACTGACCACACCTGCAGGAACGCAATGAGGAGCTGAAAGTGTGCGTTCTGTTGCAGTGAAGAAGCTCACACCGATATGCAGTACACACCATGCCACACTGTTATGGTGCTGCATAAATGAGTTAAAAAAATAATCATCATGCACAAAACTACAACACACTGCTGCTTAGCAGCTAAAAAAAAACCATCCAGGCTTTTTACAGTCTACACTGTAGTCTATTTTTTTAATTTTCTGATTTTAGCCAGAACACCCACTCATACGAGAAAGATGGCAGAGATGGAGATAAAAGCGCTTATTTTAAGCTTCGAAAAAGGAAAAGAGAAGTGCTGATAAGTGGATTTTGGGGAAATGACAAAAGGAAGTTTCATTTGCTCGACACAAACACGAGCTGGGAATCCTGTTTTTGCAGATGCCGTTTTGGAAAGCAGTCACACACACTCTGCTCCGCAGCACATCATGTCACGTTGCAAACACAGAACTAAATGAACTTCACTGGGATTTTAAGTGATAGACCAAAACAATGTAGAGCATAAATGTGAACGAGTTTGTTCCCACACAAACAAAAGAAAAGTTTCAGCTGCTTTTACTCCGAGAAAGTTATTGAACAAACAGAATCATAACGACAAAGAAATCAAAGGAAAATTTGGTGAGAAGGTTGGATTATACAACAGTTTAACCTCATGGAGCATTTTTTTTTTTTTTTTTTGAAAACTAAGAATAGACCTGCCAAGACACGGTAACTAAACTAAGATGGCAAGTCTGCATTCACCAGAGAAGCAGCCAAGAGGCCCAAGATTACTCTGGAGGAGCTGCAGAGAATCGGTTGGCAGGACAACCATCAGTAATGCTCTCAACAAATCTGGGCTCAATAGAAGAAAAATGAAAACCATTTCTGGAAAAAAATAAATAAAATAAAATAAAATGTCCCAGAGGTCATGTACGGAAAAGAAACTTTTTGTTGAAGATTTGGTCAAATGAGACCAAATGAACTTTTTGGCCAACCAGCAAAACTGCATCTGTATTAGAAAACTAACACCTCACATCTCTCTCAGCACACAGTAAGTAAAGATATTTTTAGACATGGTGGTGGCAGCATCGTGCTGTGGAGATATATCCTTCATCAGAGACAGGGGAGCTAAATACATTTAGGTCAGAAAACCAGTTGGAGCCTTTAAAAGACTTACAACTTTAAAATGTGATGCGAGTTAGCGCCCGGAAACTTTTTTTCAGCATCATTTTCCCTGTTTTGGTGTTTCACAGTTTTTGCTAACGTATTTTTATATATTAGCAGGCTCAGATCAAGGCAGTCCGTTTCTACCTTGATCTGAGCCTGGAAGCAGCCCTGTGGTTTCCACTCATGCAGGTGAGAAGCTAATTTTATTTACTCAAATGACATTTAGTTAAAGCTGTTCTATTAAACAGGATGGACGTCAGACGTACGCAACCTCTAAATCACGGTCTTTGTTTTTTGTTTGCTATGTGAGGTTTGTCTTTAGTTTATTTGCGGCACATCAGGCAGGACAATCCACAAGCTTGTGAGCAAGCTTCTTGGAGACGAGTATCGTAGTGATACGTTTATATCGTAGCTGAATGTGACAAATGATTTAGCTCAGGAACAGGAAGTGGTCTCGGCTTCTCCTTCCTGAAGTCAATGATGATTTGTTGCCCTTTCCTGTCCTTAAGGAGGAAACAAATGCCGGAAAAATATAGTTTATGCTCCAACGTTATCACAATAAACTACTTTAAAACCCACTTATTTCTTAAGTATTCTTAAGTATTTTTGCTCAAATAAGAAAGCGAGATGCTTTGAATTATTTTGTACCTTTATTTTCTGATTTATGATGACTGTATTTCCCCTCTATGGGACAATAAAACCTTTTTTTTTCCTATTATTTTATAAAATATGCCTTCTTGTAACCATTATGAATTATAAGGTTAAAGTTAAAAATGGTTATGATGGTGATTTTCATTTTTAAAGTATTTTGAGGTATTTTTCAGCTCCCTATGGTCCAGCTCCCTTTTTAAAAGTTTTTAAAGGGTTGTCACAATAGCATCGCACACATCACTTCCTGTTTCTGTCGCTTCTTAATTGGAGCAACATCCCGGATGGCAGACGCCTCTAAAGTCAGGCACTAATCATCAAGATGTGGCGTTTCCATGAGGAAACGGCCTGATCAGCTGAACCCAGTGAGGCTCTGAAAGTCCCAGGGATCTGGTGAGCAAGAGCCTGATGTTTTCAGCCGGACACCAGAGAGGCGAATTCACCGTTACTCTGAGTAAATAACAAGAAAAAACACTAAACTGTCTCCGTTTTGATTAAGAATAGATAGAAAACAGATTAAGCAAAGATCTTTTCACACAAGTTTTTCACAAAAATCTGGTGAAGTATCAGAGGCTAAACCGTAAAACATTAATGACCATTTTATTAGTAGAAAAAGTTTTTTAAAGTTTTTTTTTTTGTGTGTGTGTGTTTGGTAAATTTTTCACTACATATCTTGGTTTGATGAACAATAGATGTAGACTTAAGATTTGAATCTCATGGCGATTTTATCAATTTTTAATCATGTCTTTGATTGCACATAAATCACAGCACTGGGAAATAAATCAAACTCCAATTTTTTTTACGCCGTTAGTGCTCATTCTCTAGGAAACTAAAGAATTCATGTCAGATTGATAAATATATCAGACTGATTGGTTTATGAAATAATCATAATAATCTAATTTAATCCAGTACTAATTATCTTCTACAAGCTGAATGAGAAAGTGAAAGTTTTGTGGACATTGAACAGTGAATAAATGAATCTGAACCTTACCAGGACAAAAGTAGGTAGGCAGGAAAAATATATATATATATATATAAAGATGATGGATGAAATAAAAGAGATACGGTGAAGGTTAGATGGCTACTTACAAACAGAAAACATGGAGGGAAAACCAAGAGTGTTAGCGTCCTGAGGGCCGCCTTGGAAAAACAAAAACGGAAGGATTGGAAAAAAAAAAAAAAACAGCCATTTGTTAATGATTGAAAAAAGGAAGGAACAGAGAAGAACTAAAGAGCATAAGGTTTTCATTCTTCACAGGACGCTCAGAAACCACATGACCACACACACAGTCACGTTATTCATCCCGTTTGGTCAAATTAACACTTTCCAAGTAGCCATAAATTTTAATTAATTTACTGCCAAACTTCTTTTTTTTAAATTTTGGTTCATTCCTCATGAGCGCTTCATGTTTTTTTTTTTTTCTGGCTTCCCAACTAAAGTAAAACACACGCACACACACACACCACACAGATAACATTAACAGACAAGATGACAAGATGAGTTTGGAGGGGAGTGAGGAAAGGAACAAAGTGGCGACTGAAACAACAAAAACATAAAAAGGAAAAGAAGATGCAGAGCAGTAAACAGAGCAGGGGAGAAAAAAAACATTTCCTTCAATACATCATCATAAGAGACAGTTGAAATACTTACGTGCCCTGAAACTTTGATTTCTAAAGTTTTCAGTCTTTATCTTTTTATCCATTTAATTTTACTTGCACAGAGAAAGAATCTAGATCTGAGTAAAATATGCCAGTTTGAATGGTTCCTCTTGAATGATCATACAAAGAAGGCTTTTTTTTTTAATCTTACATGAAATTTATTTTTTTGTACCGTTTTTACTAAATTACTGCTCTGATGGTGGCGTCCTTTCTACAAATGGTCATTTTAAATGTCTGTGTGCTCCTGTTAACGATTAATCAGTTGCCAAATTGGTTGACAATTATTTCAATAATCGATTAATCACAATTAATCATTACAGCCCTAGGTAAAATCAGCACACATTTTATTTTCGCTATTGTAAATAATTTCTGCCACTGGATTATAATCTACAGCTTCATACATGGACAAAATATCAACAGGGAGATTTTTTTTTTTTTTTTTTTTACAAACTGTTCAGTTTATACAACAAAAAAATGTCCCCTTGAGTTTCTGCTACTTAATATTTTAAGATTTAAAAATCTCGTCTGTGTGTTGTTACTAAGTGTAACTCAGACCTGATCAGTTAGGTAAGAATTTAATGCCAGATTAAACGCTTGGCTGAGTGCTCTCCTCAGCCAATATTCCTACCATGATTACGATTAGCATGCTGTCGTCTTTCCTTAGCAAACAGCTGCAAGTTAACACTCCAACTCTGCGCAGTTCTACAACCAAACTGAGTCTTTTCAGGTCACTCTGCACACCATGCTACAGACAGGGTGTACACGAAGGCTCACTACAGTTGGAAAGCTGCTGCATAACAACGTGGTTGCAAAACGAGTGAGTCCTGGTCTTGGTGGGTGGAGGAGGAAGAAGAGGACGGGGATGGGAAGGGGGAGGAGTCGGGAGAGGGGAGAGGCCAGCTGGGTTTCTGGTTGGAGTGAGAATGGGAGGAGGCTGGAAAAAGTAGAGCGGCGATGAAGGGGAGGGCAGCGGAGAGGAGAGGGAGGAAACGGTGGAAGGGGAGGTGGGAGAGACTAGTTCAGAACCAGAGAGGAGGAGGAAGAACCTGAGACTAAAACAGAGGAAATAAAACAGAAAAAAGAATCATTAACGAAGCAATGATGAATTAGAAAAGAGCAGGCAGGTGATGGGTTTTCAAACCCCTTAAAACACATTAGAAAAACAAACTTCAGCATATTTTATTGTGACTTGACAGACCAACAAAAATAGTGCATAGCTGAGAAGAGAGAAGAAAGAGGTACAACGTTTTAAAAATATTTTACAAGCAATCTGAAAAGTGCAGCATTCATTTGTAAAAAGCCGTCTTTACCTTCATACCCCAAAATAAACTCCAGCGCAACTTATTGTTGTTATTAGATGCCACCTAATAAGTAAACTGAATCCATGTGTGTGTGTGTAATTTCATCTCAGTATAAATGCCACCGTCCTGCAACAGCCTCAACGACTTGTTGGGGAACTTTAGTGAACAAGCAGCGTCACGAAGACCGGGACATAACAGGCCGGTCAGGGTTGAGGCTATAAAACAATACCCCAAAGCTTTCAAAGCTCAGTTCAGCCCATCTCATCCTCGACAAATATGACATTTAATAGCAGAGAAAATTCGACAATCAGAAGCTCTGTTAGCAGTTTGCTACAAGCCAGGCAGGGACGCAGCAGATGTGCAGAAGAAGGCACTCTGGTCAGATGAGTTCGAAATGTAACTTTTTGACCTGCATGCAAAGCGCTGTCAGTACCAGAAAACTAACACGGCATCATGCTGAATAAACCATCCCCACAGTGAAACATTGTTGTGGCAGGGACAGGTGATGCAGTTGGAGCCAACAGAAGGATGGAAAAAAAAAGTTAAATACAGGAAAAATGTAAGAAAAGCAGTCGGATGCTACAAAAGACTCAATATCTGAAAGGAACTTCAGGACAACATCCAACCAGAGCTGCGATGGGATGGTTTTAGATTGACGCATGTTCATGTGGTGGAAATATCCTAGTCAAAGTCCAGACTGACCAACTGAGAATCAGTGGAGAGATTTTAAAAATCCCTTTTTACAAAAGGTGACTGGGCTGTAAGAGACTCCCAGCTGTAGTCAAAGGTGGTTTTAACAGAGTATTGACTCAGAGGGATGAGCTTATATGTATGGCACACTTTTCAGATTTTAATTATGAAAACATTTTAAAGTAAAGTATACTTCTCCTCATAACTTCACAGTTCTGCACTACTTTGTGTCAGCACATCAGAAAAAATCCAAATCATAATAATAATTTAAAAAAGCAGGAGCATTTTTCAAGGCACTGTGATAGCAGGAAGATCCAGGAGCCCTTTGCGTTTGTGTGTGTGTGTGTGTGTGTGTGTGTGTCTGTGCCTACCAGCGTCAGGGTCACTGAAGTCAGGCAGTGTCATGGCGTTGAGCTGTCGTCTGTCTGGTATGGCCCTGTCCAACAGGCTGCTGCCACGCCCTGAATCGCTGCCAACCACAAAACCCATCAGTCAAGACAAACAGGCGTTCGGTTTCTTTAATAGTCGCATTTTTGTTGCACTGGTGTGTGTGTGTGTACCTGGGGTTGGTGAGGTTGTAAAAGCTCTTCCAGATCTGGAGCATGTGTTTGCAGGTGAGCAGAGCTTCCTCCGGTCCTCTACACATGGCCTCCAGCTTCACCTTCGTATACAGCAGACTACACGGCACAGACACCATCAGCTCAGGAGGGTCTGCCGCTCCGTTAGACAGACGGCAAATGCTGTTTGGGGAATGTTTCGCTCACTTGAAGTTCTCGGGATACTCGGACAGGGCCATCTCTATGATGTTGAGAGCGTCATGGTAATGTTTCTGGGCAGAAAGAAGCAGGGCCAGCAGGTGGAGGGAGTGGACGTCGTCTCCTTGTAGCTGCAGTGCCTGTCGAACATACCCTAACGCCTCGGGGATCTACACACACACACACACACACACGCGCGCTACAGGTCTTCACTAGAGTTTACATAAAGCACAACCCTGTGGAACTGAAGGGGAAGTAAATCTTTTTCTTGTGTTTTGAATGCTTCGGCTTTTGATTTTTAGTTTGTTGGCGTTACCTGTCTGGAAACGGCAAGCTGCAGTGCCAAATAAAAAGCTGCCAGATGGTCAGTGGGAGACATGCTCTGAGCTCTGCAGATGAAAAACAAAAACATTTTGTGCTCGGACATGTTCAATCAAAAATGACATCAGCAACTTCAAGATTTCAGAGAGAAATCTGCCTACTTTAATAGAGCAGGACAGTTCAATACTTGGACTTAATTCTGAAGTATTTTTAAGAAACACATTCAAACCTCTGAAAGGCCGACAAAGCTTTCCTCTGGTAGTCCTCCTGCGTGCTCCGCAGCGATGCTGAAGAGATGCAAACACACAAAATAAAAGCTTCAGATATGACAACCACAATTACACACGCATAAGAGAAAAGCACATACACCTACACAAACACCTTGTGGGGTGTTTTTCTGCCTGACTTGTCAACCTGTTACAATCTCTTAAGTGTTCAGACATTCGTTTCTCTGAAGACCCCAGAGTTTTTTTCAGCTTCCTGAAGGGAATGAATGATGAAAGTATGGAATATGTCGCGTGGTTTCGTTCGGCTGAGATCGGATTTAAATTAGTAAGCAGACTTGCCATCTGTGGCTTTGAGGCTGTAAACCAGGCCGACGGCCAAGTGGCCTTTGGCTTTGAACTCCGCTGCCTTCTCTCCCATGTCAATCACCATCTTTGCAAACTTCTCCCCTTCGTCCAACTGAAATATCAGCGTACCAAGATGTAAGACAAAACCACAAGAGAGAAACACTGTAAAAGTGAAGCTTTACTTTCACTTCTGCGAAGAGCTGTGCGCTTCTCACCCAGTGCAGAGGACCAATGCACAGCTTAACGGCCAGCAGTGGGATGGTGGGGTCATCAGGCTTCAGACGGATGCACTCCTTCAGAACCTTGACAGCGCGAGCGGATTTGCCGGCAGCCATTAGCGACAAGGCGAGCTGGTACCACAAATGGAACTCCTCAAAAGCGAACTTCATGGCTCTCTCCAAGCACTGGGGACGGCAACAACACGGCCCGTTTTCTCAGAATTTGTCAGCCTACTTGGAAACACGAATTTCAGGAGTGCAGGTCGGTGTGGGTGTGTGGTTTTATTTTACCTCCGACAGCATCTCATACTGCCCCCTCCTGCCCAGCGCTATGGTCAGCAGATCGTACACCACAGAGGCAGACTGCAGACTGATGATCCGGTCGTTGTTGTGCTCAGGAATCCTGCTCAGGACAGCGTCCCGGTTGGCCTGGCACGAAAACAAGCACAGATAAATAAGTAAAATCTGCACAAAATCTGACAATGTTTTAAAAGTGTGACTCTATCTCACCATAGACTCACTGATCAGCAGCAGCAGCAGAGCTTCCTCTGTGTTCTCCTGAGGACAAAACAAACTGAAATGCAGCAAGAGAGAGATGAAGACGGACAGAGATGAGGAGAACAGAGAGACCGTTTTGAATCCGTAGCAAACAAATGTAAAAATGTCATACTTCTCTCCGGAGTACACTCGTGGGGGTCGGCTCAGGGTGTAGTTCTTGCGGTAGGTATGCCCTTGCTGCGTGGGATTATCCAGGGGTGACACTGTCGGAGGATCTTCCAGAGGAGACCAGTAGCTCTGTTCACACATTCCTCGGAGCAGGATCTCTGCGAGCTGTCGGGCTATCGTCTGCACAAACGACGAAATTACAGACTAAGCAGGGCAGCAAAACAGCACGAGTGTGCTGATTTGTGTGATGTTCAACTTAAATGGCAAATAGAATAAACCAGCAAAGTCCAGCACATAAATTTTAACATTAAAATAATCATGTCGCAATAAGCTGTTAATGATGATGATAAATTAAAATGGGCTTGAAATTTTACATTCTGAGAATTGATGGGGGGTTTTTTGAGGCCATTGTGTTTCTTTTTGGATACTTAAAATGTCTTCCAGTTAAGGTGTGGAGTGTTCTGTACTATATGAAAGTTTATTACTCTTTCAGAACTTGCATAATACAGTATATTGCTGTCTCAAAACAGCATTGCTATTGTTATCGTGACAGGCCTACGTTTAAGTAGTAATTATTCTTCTCAAATCTGATAGGCTGTCAAACACAAACTCATCCAACTACATGCAAATTATTTAGGGTTTTTGGGATTAGCAGCTGGGAAAATGAAAATCTGACAGACAGACAGACATCGTCCCCAATGAATTCTCACCATGCGAAGGTTCTGGGTGGTTCTGGTTTCAACAGCCCGAAGAATCTCCCGAAATCTGCCCACACCCCGCGTCAGGTTTCTGCACAAAAAAAAAAAAAAAAAAAAAAAAAAAAGTCATGTTTTGCCCATTTTAAAAGAAGAAAATATTTCCTTTTTTCAGCTAGAATCATATTACCAACCGACTTGAGAATTTTAATAGTGATCTTTAAAGATTCCTTTCACTGGCTGATGGACGGACGGACCAACATAGGGGCGGACTGATAAATAAACAGACAGATGGACCAAAAGAGACGGAACAAAAACAAACCTATAAATATGCCACTCTCTACTTTCTCTTAGCAGGAAGCTTCACCAGCTGTTGCCAGACTAAATGTAATCCAACCTTTCTGATCCTAAAACCACATAAGGTGTGAGAAAACCTCAAAGCTGTAAAGTCCTATTCACACTGCACTGCATATATCAACCTGTTAACAGCTTTGTCAGATCACAACTGCAAAAGAAAGAAAAAAGAAAAAAACCGAGTGCGATTTCTGCCGAGTGACTGGTCTTCAACAACAATGTAAAAGCTTTTCTGAATGTTAGCAGCATGTTTCTATTCTCGTTTTTTTTTTCCAGCACCCAAAGTAAACTTACATTAATATCTATTCTTCCCTTTTCTCCATCCGTGTATCTTACCCGTTCTTGAAGTGAATGACGTGGGCCCTCTGCAGGCCCGTCTCCAGGAAGTAGCCCAGCTCCAGGTCCTGAGTCGCCGGTCCTGGCTTTGGGCTGCGGTTCTGAATGCCTGCTGATAATGCCTACAGAAACAGAAACGCAACAGAACAGCAAAAGTAAGGAAACCGTGAAGGCAAAATTAGAGAACGTTATGCTTGATTTTCATCCAAATCAATAGAAACCAACAGAGAGGACCTTTATATAGCTTCATATATCTGTTGGTTTCCTACTGTTCTGTATATAAAGACGGCTCTGTTTGTCAGCTGGCCATCATGAGCAGAAGCACGTTTAACAAACTCGCTCACTGCCAGTGTAATAATCATCACACTCCCACAAGGATGGCACATTTCCTGGCTCTAGAAGTATCTGGCGAGTGTTGGCGTTCTAGCTTCTCCCCCTCAAACGCAAACCTTCTCTGCTTCCTGCAGGTACAGCAAAGCAATGTCTCCGGACTTTTCATAGCAGGTGATGATCTCCTGCTCCCGTGGTGTTGGGCTCCGATTGGTCGACGGAGAGCCGGAGTTCGACAGAGAGGGAGAGGAATCCGGGATCTGCTCTAGACACAAGCCTGGGAGAGATCAGAGAAACGGAAAAGAAAACAAGACGTGACAGACGCTTCAGTAAGCTTAACTGCATCACGCCTCAAAATATAGTTTTAAAATCTCAACATATCAGATTAATTTGGTTGAGTTAGAGAGATACTTCGTTTCCCCCGTGTGGAGATAAAAAGCATTGCTACCGAGATTAGTGGAGATTGGACTCGAGATGTAGAAGTGGATGTTTAGAAGGTCATGAGGTTACAAATGGCTCCCGAGTGTGTCTGTGTTTACCTTTGGTGGCGTAGGCCTCTGCTATCATAGACAGTCTGTACACAGGAGCTCCAGCCAGCTGCAGGTCGTCCAGGTTCACCTGGCTGTAGTGATCTGGGAAAGCAGAAGTTCTCTGTTCAGTTCCTGGACTGTGAACGTCTGTTAGAACGAGAATCATCTCTTCAAGGAGGCCGAACGTTTGTATTAAAGTCTTCTTGGTCAACACACTGGGTTCTTACGTAATCTGGAGAAAGGTGGATTTTGTTTTAGGTATTTTCAGGTCTGGAGAGGTAGGAGTGAGTGTCAGACTGTAGAATAATATTCATATTTTCTCACTTTATTCCCTATTCTCTTGTCTAAAACTTGCACTCGTTTCTCCTTTTGTTTCTCCATTCTTTTTTCAATCCATCTTCCCCTCAGTTTTTCTATTCTAAACCCACCGATCATGACACCTATCCATTTTTCCGTTATCGTAATTTATTTATCCCTCCATTAATCCATTTCTCCATTATTTATCCATACATCTTTGTTTCCATCAATAGATCCGTCATTTTTTCCATTATCCATCATCCCACTAACCCTTCCATACATGCATTCATCCATCTATTTTTATATTATTCACCCTTCCACGTTTCCATCAAGGAAAATCATTTATCAAAGCTGATCCCATCATTGAAATCCTTAACGATAATATCTCCATCACATCATTTTCTACTATCGTGAACTAATATTAAATATTAAAAACTGCACTTCTGTTAAAATAAAAATAAAAATCATGTTCTATATTCATACAGCATTTTGATATAGAACGTGGAAATGATTAGCATCTCTGAACAGTTTTTCAGCTGCTCTGAAAGGTTTTTTTTTACATATAAAAATATGATGAGATGCTAATAAACAGCATCCAGCAAAGACCTGAAACAGGACCTGACAGATTCACCTGCTAAATCCTTAGAAACAAATGAATCAAGAGTAAAAAAAGTGACTAATTTCTTAAATCCAGCAGCATTTAAAGTAAAAAAGGATCAAATAAAAAAAAGAAAAAGATTACCTAAAGCATTACTGTATTCTCCTTCAATATAACAGATTTTGGCCATCAGTAGGCTGGCTTCCTGGAGGTAATCGGCCTGAAGACATGAAAGAGTTACATTTGTACAAGAAGTCATCCAGCCAGCGATGCATCAGGTGCTCCTTTCAGAGTTTACCTTGAGGTTTCTTCGGTCCAGAGCAGCCGTAAGGTGCTTCCTGACCTCCACCAGTGTGGCCCGTGTGCCTCGGGGGCTCGAACCCTGTTTGATGGGATTTTCTTTCAAGTACGTCTGGAGCTTGGATTCTCCCAACAGCAACTCACCTAAATCATCTACACACAGAAAGGCAAAGCATTTTAAGAACGACAGCAACTAGCGAAGAGTTTAAAAAAAAATGACATGTTGTTACTTCAGAGGAGAAAAACAAAACAGGAGTGTAAGCACCAAATACGATACCAGAAAATAAATAAATAAATGGGACAATTTTATCCAAAATTATACATTTTTAAATTAATATGCCCTGACTGTGGTCTTCATTTAACAGGACAGAAAAAAAAAATCAGAGGTTTAATAAGCAACACAGAAACAACACAAATACCAGGAAGAATTAGGTACCAAGAAAAGCCAAAGCAGTCCCTAATCCAAGTACTGATCCTAGTCACAAACCAGTGTTTATTTCCATAACAGTGAGGATTACTCAAAAAAATAAAAACAGAAAAACAATCAGCAAGTCTAGTCTCTGCCATAACACAGACTAGACTTCTGTCAAGAGCTTGGTTTTAGTCTGCAACTAAATAATGGCACATTTTATAGAAGAATGTGCAAATCTTAATTATAATGAAGAAGGGAAAATATCCAAAGTAGTACTTTGCAGGTCTTTGTTTACTGGAACACTACGACTCTATTGGCCTCCTTACTTTAGCAGATCCTGTTTTAAACGCTACCCTTTAATTTGTGGAAGTCCTTATCAGAACTGAAGGTTCAGGTGTTGAAAAACCCGAACCTTTTCACAGTAAAGTGACACAGCGGGATGGAGATCTGTTAGCAGAGACCGATTGATGCTTTCCTGTTATTGCCAGATTAAGCTTTTGTTAGAGCAGATTGTAAAAGTTCACAGCTGTTGCCAGAACTTTCCATCCCCTCCTCATGAGCACGAAAGCTAGAAAATTCAAACTTAAAAATTGATCTAAAAAAGGAAATGATATATTGTTGTGACTCATTTAATTCAAGAGTTATTGCAGATGGTGACGTCTGTCCGCAGGAAAGATGTTCTCGGAAACAAATGGAAATAATTTTGAAAAATCAAGACTTTGATGCGCAAATTTAAATTTACTGTTGATTTATTCTAATCCACACAAGGTCTAATCCACCTGAAACCTTCAGATTGCCCAAACAGCTTGGATTTCATCATCTCTAAGTAAGAATATATTCATATAACCAGAATCAAAATTTGTTCATAAGTGGCTCCAAAGTGCTTTCCCAACTTGTGCAAATCTGCAATGTTCTTCTTTAAGTCGTTAAGGAGTTCATTGGGCTTTCCTATAGATCTCTGCATGCTGAATAGATGGTTTGCAAACAACACTATCAGTATGGCAATATTAACATTACGATACGTCACCATAACGCTTCCTTTTAACAGTTAGCAGACAGAGGTCAGTGAAAGAAAATCTAATTTTTGTTTCGGCAAACGATGTCGATCCACAGAGCAAACCTTACGACGCGGAGTTAATTGACGCATTTTTCTGAATAGTTCGGCTCTAATTAACCCCAACAAAAGATTATAAGCAAAACTAAAAACAAACACAAAGTGTTGAAACCTGCTAGCATCCAGAATCAATCAATTTAGTGACGGATGTGGAGCAGGAGAAAAAAACATTATTTGTCTTATTTCACTTTAGCTTTCTTGGCTAAATTATTTGTCATACAGGATGAGAATGTCACACAACCAGCAAAAAGCTAAAGAGGAACATGTTTGAATGGACAGTGGTGACCCAGACCAGGTCATATCCTAAAATTCAAGGTGTGGTAGTGTAAATGAACCAAAAGTGGAAACATAATTTCTGATTTTTTTTTTTTTTTTAATTTTTATATCTTTAGTTCTAACCATTTTATTGCCTCTAATCAAAACGGAGTGCAAAACATCCTGTGTTATGAGATGTTGCTGTCAGGAAGTAGGAAAGACTCAGGCCGGGGGAAGAGAGGCCTGATGAATAATGCTACCGCTGCGGGACGAGCTTCCTACCGTTGGATATAAGTTTCGCCGGCAGCTGCCGAACCAGCTCTGGTATCTTGTCCCACTGGCCCTCCGAGCGGCAGCGCTCAATCTCGGTCTCCAGTCGTGATCCAGACTTCCTCGCCGTCATGTTTCGTGACTGAGGGGGGAGACTGGACTCGGTCAGAAACACCACAACAGGCCCCCTCTCTCTCTCTCCAGCTGGAACAACCGTCAAGTTCACACTTAAGCATAACATGCAGGCTTCCGGTGAAGGAAAATAAAGCGGTAAAACAGTGACACCTAGCGGTCAAGAGGGTGTAATTCTACAATTTAAGCGGAAGCTGACTGCAGACTCATTTATCAACCGAATAAATCCATTGATTAAAAGTGACATGGTCTCTGTCACCTTCAACGATGTATTGATAAATATTTTTCTTCGTTTTAGTCCAGTGTATGCTACCTAGGCTCAAATAGTTTCATAATAGTTTTTTTTTATTAGAATCAGAATCAGAATCTGCTTTCTTGGTCAAGATTGACCAAGAAACACATTTACATGATTAATTACTCGATAGATGGAACACTGTGTTTTTAAATATCAAAAAGGGATTACACATTACACCATGATAATCAGATATCATAAAAATATTCCTAAAATATAATTACAGTAGTGCAACTTTTTTATTATTATTATTATTATTATTATTATTATTATTATTATTATTATTATTATTTCTAAATTTACAGATTCAGAACAACTTAATTGGCCAATGTTGCGTGCACAAACAAGTTTAACATCGATTTTTCAAGTACTCACAGCAGTCATGAAAACATCATTTTCTGAACTAACTAATTTCGTACAGATATATGTTTATGTATTTCCATTCACATTAGCGATTATATAAATATGTGCTTAATTGCTTAATTATCAAATTAAATGGCACTTCTGAAACTGGAAAGTACGTTAGAGAAATATTCTTTTATTTTGAAAGACCGGAAGCAGCTCAAACGTCTGTAGTAGCGCGTTGAAAGCAATGAGTTAGATGACAGATTTGTCCTTGTTATTAACTAATGACAACATTTCATTGAGGCAAAATATGGAAGCAGAAGTGGTAAGTGTATATTGAAATAATAATTCTTATGTTTTAATACGTGTTTAAGATAAAGTAAGAACTTTTTTTTAGATATTGTTGCTATTACTTCCTTAGCCGAGAAGCTAACGGCTGAAACAAACGAATCCAACAAACACTTTAAGATGATGATGATGGTTCTCTAAATTCAGTTTTTTGTTGTTGTTGTTGTTGTTGTTGCTGCTGTGTCAGTGTACAGCAGGGTCCACAGAATTTGAGACTGTGGAGATTGCTGAGTGTAAGTCGAGGAAGGTGAAGGTTCCCCGGAGGATCATTCACTTCGCCAACGGGGAAACCATGGAGGAGTACAGCACTGATGAAGAGGAGGAGGAAGAGGATCATGTGAAGCAGGTCGTTTCAGTTGATACGGTAGGGTCAGTGGATTGCAAAGGATCTGTTTTATTTAGTGATCATGATCCAGACTTTTAAAAAAAGGTACTTTTACGTGGACTTTGGCTTCCCATTCAGGCATTTCAAGGCTATGCAACTCAAAAGATGACTCAGTGTTGACATTTTAAAAACGAGTCTTAATGGACTTTAGCTGCAGCCAAAAAATGTTCTAAACTATTTTTGTTGAATCTATTAAAGAAGTATCAGTAACACAGTTTGACAGGCATTAATTTTGTACCAAAGAACTATTATTACACAGCAGAGATCACATAAGTTATCTGGAATGTTTCAAAGCCTTCATATGTTTTTGTTTTTCTCTCTTTGTTCTTTCTTTTTCCCATTAAATTGGAATATAATCAAAAGAATTAATATATTTTTGTATTTCAATTGAAATAAACTCCATTTTATATAGATTTATTGTGGACATGGATTCAATTGAAGCATTCATGTGCTTATTTAGATGATTATGGTTTACAGTTCAAAGAAACAACTTTTACTCTGTCATACAACAAATTAACTACATTAGACCAACTTGAAATAAAATAATTTTAATACAGAAATGTAAACATCCTCGAGAGTATTCCATGTACCGTGTATGCAGTCAGTACTGCACTTTGGTCTTTTTTTTATTTATTTATCACTGTTAATTCCGTGTGGCATAGAGGTGACAGTTTTGTTTTAATCTTAAAACCTACGTTTTACTAACGCACTTTACATTTTTTTGACTGACACAATCACAATAGAGAAACTTGAAACCAGGTTTTGGTATTGTTAATAGGTGACAGATCCTACTGGGAAATTACATAAGCAAAGCTTGTCGGCAAAAGGAAGCATTCCTTTAAAAATTTTTCTTCCAGTCAGCTCCTCCAAGTCATCACTGATTGTTGACCTTTGACACTGATCCTCATGTAACTTTAATCCTGCCCCCAACTCTTCATTGGACTCTGAGATTTCCACCATTTTTTTTTTTTTTTTGCTTGTTTGTTTTTTCTTTGGAAGTGAAAACTGTCCAATCAGCTGTTTTCATTAAGGTTGTGTAGGCGATTATCTGACAATAAGATATTTTTATAGAAAAACAAAATATTAAATAAGCCCCTTGGTATGCACTTGTATACATTTTATAAATGTATAAATGGTCAGAATAACAGTTTCTTTGTAAAATATTAACAATATAAGTTCATTAATTAAATAAACAAACTCAATGTGAAATTATGTGAAGTCATTAAGCATCTTTTCCTGTATATGTGCTCCAGTCCAAACTGACCTGGGGTCCTTATTTCTGGTTCCACATGTGGAGAGTGGCGACCTCCACTATTTCAGGTAGCACCTTAATTGAGCTTTACTTTTTAAATGTTTTTGGATTTTTCCTTCATAAAAATGCTTGAATTTGTATCAGCTATCCTGTGTAATCTTTGTTGCAGTGTGCGACTACATGGGCGAGAAATTGGCCTCCCTGTTCGGCATCACCTCTCCAAAGTACCAGTATGCCATTGATGAGTACTACCGCATGAAGAAAGAGGTGTGACCCATCATCAACCATGTCAGCCACATTACAGGAAAAATCTGACCTTAAAAGTTGTAACGCGACCTTCTCTTCCCGCAGGAGGAGGAGGAAGAGGAGGAAAACCGTCTCGCTGATGAGGCGGAGCGCACGTTTGCGGCGCAGCGGAGAGGCGAGCAAGAAAATTCGACCACGGTGAAGGAGCAGCCGGAAGGAAACGGAGCCACATTTGTGAACGTCAGCTTTGAGCTCGAACCAGAGTCGTCGCTCAGGAATCCCGATCCAAACAGAGTCCCGTCTCCTCTCCCCTCCTGAAAAGAAAACAAAAAACAAAAACTGATTCACACGTTTCAAATTGTCGGTTAAACCCGAACTTACTCAGCTCCATGCACTAATTTTTATTTTCTATTTTTTTTTCCTGTTATGTTTTGTAACAGATTAATTTAATCACAACAGTGGAAGTGGCTGCGGAACGCCATATCTGTGAATGTGACTTTTGAGTGTGGCATGTAATCTATGCAAAACTAGAGGTCAGCCTGAAAGTGTCTTTTACTCTGCAACAAGGTCCTGACGTGTCCTTCTAAGTAAGCGCATGATCCCAGCGGAACAGTGCACTGTGCCTTTTCTTCACCCAACACTTTATTCTGCCATCATGTTGTGTGGAGAATCACACTTTAAAGGACATGTTGCAGCCCAGCTGGTGGTTTTGATTGGGGAGATGTACATGATGGGTGTGAAATGTAAAGTGAATAGTAGTTGTAGTCTTGTATTTCCAACTCCCTCTCCCCCCCCAAAACAACAGGACTCCTGAATGTAGAAACATTTAGAAGCTAACGAGTAAAGAAAAACATTCAGAATTTCAAGATGTTTGAGAGACCCCTTTCTGTGCTGACCCCTCTTTAACTGTGAATGAAAGGTCCGATAAACACCAACATATTTGCCTTATACGAGTGCTATAAAGGGAAATTAAAGGCTGAGTATATGCTTAAGAGCTTTACTTTTGTATCATTAGAACAGGTGTGTGTTTAACCCCAGAAAAGAGGATTTCTGGTTTTTGATTACACTCCAGTAGATGTTTATACGTGTTACCTGTTCTGTTGTAGTTTAAGCCGATGAGAGTCGGCTGATTTGAGGCAAAAACTGACTTTGTAAGAGAACAACTAATATATCCTCTAATTTACAGCCCAATTTGTTACTCCATGAGCTCTTTAAATCTGCACAGAATAATCGATTAATGTTGAAATATATACTGATGATTATTGGTTTGTAGAGATGTCTACAGAGCTTATGTATTTATAAGTGTCCTTGCTTTGGGCATCTTAAGCTTCTTATTGTTATCCGCTGATATCACTATGTTGACCTGCTTCAGATCGCAGAGGGCGAACTCGAGTCATATGTGTCACTGACAAAGAAACAGAAGTGCAAAATAATCCTCAGTCTGATTATTTTTGAATGAATGTGTTTCATTAAAAAACAACTTGCTGTCTTTGTGTGTGAAGAAAGAGAAAATATGCAATATATTTAGTCATTTTAATAGGAATCTATTGCCTAGATTTTGTATTTGTATTGTCAGTTTTAATACATATTAAATCACAGGGGAGGTCGATGTCTTTATTACATCCATTCATCAGATAAAATGTTATAAATTGTAATAAATCTGACAATTTATTCCGATTGTTCTTTTTTTTCAAATTAAAAAAACCTGGTTTTAGTTGCACAAAACAAAATTTGTGACTTTTCTCCAAACATTGTCCAAACTAGACATACAAGCTAAAATACCTACATATATTCCCACTTACACTTGGATAATTGTGCCTTGGTATGTTGCACCTTGACCAGTGCAACTCCATCAACCATCTTGTGGTATAATGGACTTGCTCTCATTTAAACAAATGTCTCAATCTTCACTTGATTTGTGGCAAATAGGGAGTCAGCTTTCACTCTTACTGTCCAATTAGTGCAATAAACAAGTTAACAATGGGAGTGAAAAGGCACACATTCCAACGTTTCAGTCAGTATGAAGTTCTTTGGTTTGAAAACCTCACCTTAACACCTCCAGTCACCGGCCACTACCTGAATTACCTGTTCAGTTACTTGTTAACACAAACAGTGAATCAGCCAATCACACAACAGCATTTAGATGCGACGAATACAAACTGAGCATCAGAATGGGAGAGATGGAGTAATACTGACTGTGCATGGCTGTTTGCAGCAGACAGGCTGGAGTATTTAGAAACTGAGATTTTCACAATTGTCTTTTATGTTTACAGTCTAAAAAAAATCTAGTTAGTGGCACAACCATTTCCACTCAAAAAGCCACTTTTGCCTCTGCTGCTGTAAAATAAAACTTGCAGCAAAAGGACAATTTTCTAAATATGTACAGCATAAAATGTTTTATTATGAAAGCTAGCAAAACTAAACTATAATATACTTCTATTTTTGGACTTTAAACAAAATAAAGAAATGGAAAATGAAGAAAAATAGGAAGCATAGTTTGAAGCTGGGTATTTTAAAAAAATGCATTATTAAAAGCCCACTCAGTTTGACGTTAATGCGTCTGATGGGGTAATAGAAACTTCTGATCTGATCAGTACTTTTAGTACTTTTTCCCACTGAGCTTAAAATAAAAATAATAAATAAGCAAAACCACTGGTAATGTTTTAGCAGTTTAAAAGAAAAAAGGTGGTTTAAATAATCAACCTGGATGAGGATACTAAACAACAACACTGAGAGTGATTTGAGGAATAACTTTATATAAATGATTTCTTTACACAAGTATTTTTACACAGGCCACCTCTCTGTAAACCAGTCTCCATGAAAAATAAAAAAGGAGTGGCAGTCCTGCTGCCGCCAGTATATATCAAGATCCTCTTCAGGTGTCGTCAACGTCAGCCATATTGCTGCCGTCGTTGTCGTTGGCAACCAGCACCTCTCTGTTCTCGTAGGTCCAGAATCCGTTGAGATCGATCAGGATGCTGACCACTGTGTCCCCCTGGCAGCTGTTCACCAAATCCTGAAGAGTGATCTTGTAGGGGTCTTTAGGCTTCACCATGTCAAAGATTTCGTCCTGAGGACAGACAGTGCTCAAAACAGTTATCAAATCTGCTGTACACGTTGTCATTACAGTCGTACAAACTGTCTGTGGTTGCTTTACCTTCACATCCTGGAAAGAAACAGGCTCCTGACTGTGCAGCTTCATCTGCTCCTGAATGGCCTGAGGAAAAAAAAACAAAAAAACACGCCGTTTGTCCTGAAAGGCTGCTAAAATAAACAGTGTAGATTATTTTTGCACACATTTTGTTGTTGTTGTTGTTACCCTAAAAAAGTAGTTGAGGGAGAAGACGTTGAGGTATCCCTGATTCTCCATGTCCAGAAGTTTAAAAATATACTGCAATGCTGCAGGCTCCTTCCGATTTTCCAGGGCCAGTACAAAGTCCAGATAGGTCTTATAGTCCTGGAATCATCAGAAGAGTACAGAAAGTTTATGAAAACATACAAAAATAAGCTGGTTTGACAAAACCTTTTAAAATTAAAAAACAGCTAAAAATGGACATATAAGGATTTTATTGCTGTTTTTATAAAGCTTGGAATTACTGATTTCTCTTGAAGGACTGTGATATAAAGGAGGTATGACAGCATCATTCAGAATATTTTTTTCTAGTTTTCATTTCATGAGAGTTCATTAATTATTTTAATTAGGTGCAAAGGTGACATCATGTGTGTGAAAGAGCAATAACAGTAAAATAGGTCAGTGGGAGTATTTTAAAACAAAGGGAAAATAATTAAGGAGTCAAAATTTTTAAATGTTTTTTTGTATATTAAAGTAGTGATGAGAATGGTCAGTGCAGTTAGCCTGTGTAGAGAATGTAGATCCGTATATTAACACTGAGATTTCCAAAGAGTCTCAGTATCAAAATTCCTAAGTCTGACAAAGGCTGAAAGAAAACAGCAACTTTTCCCATGAACCTTCCTGTTATTTGCTAATAGTCTTGCTCTCTCTCAGTCTGAATGAGTGACAGTCATGTTGTGAAGTTTCCTTTCAAATAGCTTCTTAGATCCCTGTTCTTCCTCTGACTCCATTTAAAAACACCTTTCTGAAAACATCTACCTTTGAATCTTCCTTACTCAGTAACTGCATCAACACCAAAGAGTGTTGCTGTCAGTGAAACCTGGCCGTGCTTACTGATTGGTAACATATCGTCAGTGACAATCAAGCTGAAAGTCATCTGATTCTGGTTAATAGCTAGTCTCCCTGTGCTTCTCTAGATGACACACTGCCTCGGTAAGCAGCTAAATCTTTAATCTTGTTAAAAGTTCAAACTGTTTTACCATTTCTCCATCGTAGGTGAGACATTCCTGAAACACTCTGTCCAGGAAGACTGAAGTGAGCGTGGCCGTGCCGTAGCGAGACAGCTCTTCTTTGCTCAACATGCCGTTGTGATCTTTGTCCAGGTTCAGGTACTGGCCTGTGGACATGAAGATTAAAAGAAATATAGATTTCAGGAAAAGCAGGAACGTCTGAAAAACAGTAACACTGAAACACTTCTATGATTTCTCACCGTAGACTCTGAGAGCCGACGGAGCTGAGAACCAGTTGGACTCCTGGCTTTCCTTAGACAACTCCTCATCTCTCAACTGGCATAGAAATAATAATAGAAAAATAATTGCAGAAGACTGAACGCTTTCATAAAGTTTTGTTTCCGTACCTCTAATGAAATGTATTTACTGGATATTAAACACTCACAGAGAGGTAAAAAACAATCATACCTCTAACAAGTCATCCAGGAAACTGCAGGCCAGAATATCCTGGATTTTAATCTTTCCTGTCAAAGGGAAAGTTAATTTTTTTTACTACACATAATCATCAATATTTCTAATATATTCAAGCAATGGAGTGCCTATAAACACTGTGATTACTAACATATTCCTCAGAAAAGTAGCTCATTAACGAATAATAAAGAACTTCAATTTGCCCGACTAATCCAATCCAACACAGCACAAGCTCAATGTAACATCCTCTGAATTCATTGGTTATGATGGCAACACTTGAGTCCAGTTTAGACTCACCGGTGCGAACCGGGTCGAGGAAGAAAAAAAACTTGCGAACAGCTGTGCAGACGTAGAAAGAGTAAAAGGACTTCTCCAATCCGTCTAGCTGGGGCAGAGTGGGGATCAGTTCCAGGATGTAGTTCTCCAGATCCTACACACACACACACACACACACACACACACACACACACACACCAACACTATTGCTTTGTGGAGGAAACAACAAAAACAATTATATTCACTTCTAGTGAAATAACTTACAGACTCCCTGAGGTAGCCTTGTCCCGCCACGTCATACAGACTCAAACCAATTCGGGTTTGATGCAACCACACTAGAAAGGGACAGAAATGAGAAACAATTAATGGGAAGACGGTAACTAATATTATTTAAGCCCGAAAAGAAAAAGAAGAAGTATATACAAACCTTTCCTCATGACATAGTTAAAGAACTGCATGATGGATATTCGGCCGTATGGGTCACTGCTGAGCAGCTTGGCGTACACTCTTGCTGTAAAAAAATTCCTACGGGGGGAAGTGAAAAAAAAAAATTGATACAATCTGCAATTTGAATTTCAGCTTAATCCATCCTCCAGTGAGGACGATATTTAACTTTAAATTATATATTTAAAGTTCTAATCCTCTAAAACCTGGAGTATTTACTGTGTGAATAATTGTCCGATCCAATTATTTCTTAACTGGGCTGAAAATAATAAATGTGAGAATAACCATCTTTGTTATTTCAAAGTCAAATAAATGTGTGTCTTTTGATTAATAAAAAATAAATAGTTTATTTTACCCATTTAGCTAAAATTAGGTTTGTCTATAACCTCTGCCTTAGATATGAGGTTGAGTAGCTTTACCATTACCCTCACTCCAACCCTTAACAAGTGTAAGAGTTAAGGTGTTATCATATCCAACTTAGGAACTCCTCAGCAAAGAGCCCTGTTTTACATCTAGTAGAGTACAGCTTGTAAGTGAGCTACCTACCTGCACTTTGGCCCTGCCTTTTCCCCTACTTGAAGGTAGGCTTCATAGTTGATCATCGCCTC